TGAGCTAGGGGGCAGGACTCACGATGGCGCATCCACCCTAGGAAGGCTCAGCACTGCGGGACTCCAGAGCAGCTGGGTGGCTCCCGGACCTCAGTGCTCCCCGGCTCTGCCCACTCCCTGATCAAGAAAGCAGTCCTTACTTTGCTCAGGAAGTCCCCTGCGGCCTTGACCCCATCTTTCGGCCACCATCAGGATCCCGGCCTCCACCTCCATCACTCCAGAACCCCTGCCCAGCTTTCTCGCTGTTCTTGGCCTCCGACTCATCTCCTGGTCCCTACCGCTCTGCTGTTCTAGGGGAACACATGGCCCTGGGGCCTCAAAGCCCCCTCCGTACTACCCAGCTCTTTGCCTGTAATGCCTATACCCTCTCCCAGGGCCTTAACGCACAGGTTGCTTCCTCCTACAAGTTCTTCCTGACTCCTCGCTGGGCCTGATCTCCCGACTCCTGGCCCTTACCAAGATGCAATTTTACTTTTGTGATGATTTCATTCAAACCTGCCCCTCACCAGGGCTGTAAGCACCCCGCGGGCAGGGCCTCACCCAGTTCGAACACAGAGTCAGCACGAAGGAGGTGTGTCAAGGTATGTATCAAATGAGCGAATACGTGAAGAAAGGAATTTCCACCCAGGCCTAACCACCTAGGTCTGAATTGGCATTCTCTTGGTATTAGAGGGCACCCGGAGGGCACAAACCTACCCCCATAGACGTCCTGCCCATTGCATTCCTAACTGGGGACCCCACACACCTCCTCTCACGGTGAGCTCACTCCTTCTGCAACAGCCTATTTCATAGTAGAGGACCCTTTGGAGAATATTCCATGGATGGGTGGAAATCTGTGCTTGCAGCCCTCTCGGGTCCCCGATCTGTCCTGGTCCTCTCCACAAACTCAGACCTCACCCCGGGTCTGTTTTCTCTTCCTCCAGCCTGAGTGGTCCCAGTTACTTCAGCTAAGAGAGTGGGATCCCGTCCTCCCTGGCCTTCTCTCCCTGCCCTGTATCCTTACCAGTTTCTTCCAGCCCTCTGAAAGCCTGGGTCCTGAGTGGGACCCCCAAAGTTCCAGACGTCTGTAGAGAAAAACTTTACCAACACGTTCACTGCCTGACCTGAGAAAGAGGAGCCCTTCCTGCCCAGGCAGCCATGTGCTCATCTGTGTCATGTGCTCATTCACCACATGTGCATGGTCATGTGCTCAGCCCTGGCAGCCATGTGCTCAGCCCTGGCAGCAACAACCCAGGCAGGCTCCTCTTCCCTCTCCTAGGAGCCAGCCTTCATTCGGCGGCATAAACTCAGGAAATCCCCCTTCCTTTTCTGGGCCTCCTACCCTTGCCATGGAAAGTGTCCTGGGCTTACCGAGTCCCCTCCTCTGTTGTGGTGTCCCTCAGAGCCCTGCAAGAGTAAGCTTCGGACAGAGCCAGCTTTGTGGGTGGGTCACATGTGAATCACAGGCCCCACTTTAGAAGGGCTCCACGCTCGGTTGGCTGCTCTGATGCTGCCATCTTCAAGTTCTTAGTAATTTTTCTGGGACCAGCAGATGACCTAATGATTACATCATTGGACTCCCACATGGTTGACCGTGGTTCGAATCCCAGAATCAGCAGCTTAAATCTCACGCTGGGCTCAGGTGCGTGCATGCCCAAAATGCTGAGAGGAGAATGGAGGAGAAGGGATTGCAGTGTGGCCATCCCCCCCCCCCCCGGGCGGGGTTTT